CCTCTCCAGTTCAACTAGGGGAAAATTGAACTTTTGAACCACTAGTGTCATTCTCTATAGCAACGTCTGGCGGTTCTTTTTGCCATGTATCAAACAGAAATGAACAAGCAGCATTTTGTTAAATCTCTTGAAGGATGGAAGGTTCTTCATTTAGTGCAGCTAGTTAGATTTGATTAATTGTAGGAGGTATGTCTGACGTCATCGGGATTATTTTGTGAATGTCCTAGTCGTGGCGCATGTATTCTCGTGAATTGACCTTAATTTCTCGGTAATTAGGGCACTGCTGTTGATAATACTGTTGTTTTAGACAATGTGATATATTGAGCTTTCACTTTGAGTTAAATTGTTTTTTTGACTGTAGTGTTCCTTTAACGTCAAAGGAGAGACCATCACCTCGTTGTCGTCAACGGTGACACTTTCAAGAATTACACATTATCGACTGGAATTCTGTGAGCATAATTGCGACAGAGAAGTGCCTATTGACCTGGCTACATTTAAAATCACTGCACATTCAAATGACCAAAAACGCAAATAATCGGACATGGGCTAGTAGTCTCCCTGAGATATACATGCACGCGGCACCCATTACATAAATAGCCATGCTCTCTTGCATGCTCTTCATTGTGAACAAGGAACCTGTAGTGGCTCCGAAACGTCAATATATGTTTGTTTTTTCTTTGGACAAGGCGAGTGTCTGTTTTATTTCTTTCAAAAATCACCTCAAATTACACCCTAAACACTTCGTGTCACTGCCTAAAGAGTATACTTGAGTGAATTTTTAAAAAGTGGCAGTAGACAGATAGCCGGAATTTTTGTCAAAATCATCCAAAGGATATTGGGAATTGCCGTAGTTGTGAAGTTTTGTGCCATTCCAGCCTGAATTCTGCCGCAATCACTAGAAGTAACAGACTACCCACATTTATAATTTCTTATGGGCTGAATAGTCTAGAAGTAGCATACCTTCGCACTGCTAAATTTGTAAGCACCTTCCATTTGGGCCGGTAGGCCAAGCTTGCTGCTAAAGTCCAAGCGATAAAAAATGCCCTTAGTTTTCAGATGTGAAGCAGCTCTTTGATTTGACTAGCCTGTGTAACGCTGGATGTCCATGTCTCCGTGCCAATGCACCGCACCGCGCTCCCTTTGTCGCACGTGATGAGGCTATGACAAGTAAGGCATGCTTTCCCTAGCAGCGCGTGGTGACATCACTCTCCCTCGCCTGCCGCGCTCGCCGTGTCTCGCCTCTCTTTCGATTCACCCTCTTCACCGCTCGCAACGTTTGAACGCACATCGAGTAAACACTCCTTCGGCTTGTTTATCTGCAATGGACAGGACGGCGAAAAGCGTAGCTCCTTCGCCCGCTGAAACATGCGCTGAAGTGATTTGGCCTAACCCGGTCGTTGCCGGTGTTGCGAGAGTTAGCGGATCCGATCACGTTCGCCAATGGTGACGTTGCGCCTGCAACACTGACGAGGCGCGAGCCAGGGAAACTCAATGCAAGCGTCGACAGGGGAAGACCAATGACACCGACGAGGCGCAAGTCAAGCGCCGATCGCATTCGAGAATGGAGATAGTGCACTGGTAACACCTATGAGATGCGAGCCGAGTGCAAGGGTCTTCAACGAGCGCAAGTGTCTTCAACACGTCGGCAACACCGGCGGGGCGTGAGCCAAAGAAGCCGAGCGGAAGCACTGACAGCGAAATGCCAACGCCGGTGAATCCTCCACGTCGTTGGCGTCAACGTCTCCAAAGCGCCGAGCGCCCCTTGCTGAATCGTCCCTCGAATCACCGCGCTCAAAGCTGCTACTTTGCATCCCTACAGGGTTTTCTTAGGGAAGATGTCGTGAATTTTTTAAATGAGTTTTCTTGTAGCAACTGGCAAAACTCTCATAAAACATCTATTATGCGCATACTTGCTTACATTGGCACAAGTACTCATTATCAAATGTGTAGGGGAAAGCTTCCTATAGGCTCTGCATCGCCTGTGAAGAACAGTGCAGCAGCATATAAGCTTTATTTCAGTAAAGCGACATTAACTTTTAAGACATTTGGAGCATCTGTGTGATAACGACACCTTTATTGAATACAAACACATTTCCTTGTGACCAGTGAGACGACAGAGATGGAAGTAATAGTAGTCCCTTAGTAATAATAAGAAAGGTATACTGAAATCTGTGAATTATGGCATGGCAACTGCATAACCACAATTCAAGCACGTTAGTAGGGGCCTCATCATAATTTTGCTGCCGAAATATGGCTGTGACACTTGCATCATTAAAGGGGCCCTGCAACACTTTTTGAGCATGGTCAGAAAATGCTGCCGATTGGTAATAGAGGCTCCTGACAATACGCGAGTCAAATATTATAGTGCAGCACGTGGCCTGGAATTCACAATAAATTATCAAAGTCAGTTAAAAATTGCTTTCTCTTCTGTCTACAAATCACGGAATATACCCAAAAATCACACCTAGCAAGCTTATCTATTAGCCATTGGCTTATTTGAACATGGTGCGCTCGCTTGTTACAAAGATCACCGCGGGAGGCCACTACTTGTCCACGCGTGCGTGTGTGACCACACTTGAAAAGGCGTGCATTTGAAAAAAAAAGAAAAAGAAAAGGGGCTCAAGATCACGAGACGCACGTGACGTTTTTCTGTGGCCCTGCCATTTCTCCTTGCTTAGCTTCCAGCGCTTTCGTCGGGACGAGAGAAGAGAGAATGCAATTGCAGCATGCTACAAATTTTGCAACTTCACTTGCACTGGACGTATTCTTAAACTTTTTGCGACGTTGAATTCGTGATGCAATAGGCTCTCCCAGTGAATTAATTTTATGGTTACTTGAAAAGGTGTTTCAGGGCCCCTTTAACCCACAAAAATGTTTGCCATGTTGGTCAAGACTTATATTGTGCAAAAGAACTTATATTAATTGGAAACCCAGCATTTTTACAAATGTACCTTGAGTAACCATGTTGACTGCTGTGTTAGTAATGCATTTGTCAGAGATGCTGGCAGATTAACCTTTGTAACTCTTTTGCTACCTCTCAAAGAAAAGGAATTTTTCCAAATATAGCCAAAACTTTCTTGCTCAGTTTGTTGAACTTTCTTTCCTGAATAAAGCAGTACAATACTTTTCATTCAGTTGGGTTTTGTTATCATCATTTCATTTAGTGGGGTTTTGTTATTATCTCTATCACCATTCGGGAGAAATAACTGGGACAAAATAACGGTATTTATTTATGCTGTGATGAAGCCTTGTGTTGGGGGGATAGTCACTAGTACTAAAAACAAGTCAGGGCTTTCCCCCGTCCTCAGTTTTACTAGCAAACCCCTTTCTCACCCCCCCCCCCCCAAAAAAAAAAAATATAGTGACTGGATCCGCCCCTGCCCAAAACATATTTTAAATCAATTTTAAAGTGTTTACAGTTCACGTGCACACGAAACGGTCCACCTCATGACACCTACACCCACATTGTTTTAATGTGAACAACCAATGACCACATATGTAATGAGCTTGTGCTAGCTGCCATGTGCTGCTTTGACATACTCTCCTCTGCACTTGTCAACGTGACCAGCTTTGTTTACACAAAAGCCCTGTTGGGTGCCATCTCTTGCAGGACTAAGAAACTGAAACTGCAACTGGGCTCCATAAAACCACCTCTGAAGAATTAACTGTCACATGCTTAAGCAAACAATGTTTTCAGCTATGAGAAGTTGGTCGTTAGCTACTTATAGTAAAACAGAAAGAACTAGATATAAAATTTTTGTGTCAGTAACACAGCTTGGTTTAAGTTAAAACAAGAGTTGTGTAAAACGGTATTCTTTCACAATATTTATTTAGCTAATGTGCAGATTATGTACTCGAAAACTTTGACATCAAGAACTGGGTTGTACAAGTGAAAAATTGGAAAAAAAATTTCCAACTCGTATTTTGCAGATGATTCTTCAGCTGCCGAAAGCATACAATACTTAAAAACTCATTTGAAGGAAGCAAGTGGGAAAACTGGTGATAAAGTAGTAATAGAAAGATATATATTTCTTGAATGGTTTTCTGTTCTTTGTGATAGTAATTGCATGCGTAATTTCCTAGCTGTGTGTGAAGAATGAATTGCTTCAAATCGTGGTTTGCCAGCTCCAAGTGGTAGTTTTTCTGCTCTAAAGAAAACATCAAAAGCCACTTTCATCATTGCATTCAGTCTTAAAACTCATAAACACGCTTTAGCAATATGCTGATGAGTGGTTTACATATTGTGTAAGAATGTTCAAAGCTGCATGCTTTGGAAGGAACAGCAGTGTAAACAAGTGTCGAGTATTACCAAGTGTTTTTTTTTTTTTTCTGTAAACTGTTACCAAACTTCACAATACACCATTTTGATAAGTTCTAAAGAGGTGAGAAGGATTGTCAGTCAACACTTGCTAATTTTCTGAAGCTTTGGCCAAGATTTCATGTCGTTTGTACAGTACTAATTGTGAGTGACAAATGGCAAAATGGCAGCTTGCTGCTCTGCACCAGTATTATGCATTGCTTTTTTTTCAAATACATGCTGCGGAGGTTGCTTATAACAACTGGTTTGTATACCAGTGTGTAATTAAATGTGCAACAGCAACCACAGGTGCATGGTGAAAATGGTCAATGGACTATTTTCAATAAGTGCTTGGCATGCTACAATCCAGTGCAATTGCAGAATTTCCGAATTGCAGTTACGTGTGGTCAATCTAAAAATGTTGTTTCGAAAGCCGATTTTTTCGCTAGCATCACTGTTTACATTAGGAAGAGATTCAGCCGCAGTAGATTCCCAGAAACGGAAATCTGTTAAATGAAACTGCTGCTTAAACTAAATAAGTGCCTCTGGCAAGATTGGTTTCATTTTTGCATTCTGCACCCCTGGTCAGCTCTCTGTAAACAGAACTCCCGAAATGGAACAAATTTTCCAGTCCCTTCAGGTTCCGTTTAACAAGAGTCTACTGTACTTTTGTGCCCCCTCTAACGTTGTTTTTAATCCCCAGATGGCTTTCGCAAAGTGGCAAACATGGACCAGGGATTGAGGACAGAGCGAGAAGACATAGAATTTTTTCATGACTTCTTTGTTCGTGGTCAAGAATGTCTTCTTGGTCTCATCAAACGGAAGGTGAATGCTAGTTTTTCTTTTACCTTGGTGTCCACTTCACTCAGACCCATGTGCTCTACGAAGTAGCACACTAGACGATGGTTATAGCGCGTGAACAGAAAGACGACAAAGAGACAAGAAGGACACCACGAGCGCTCAGTTCGTCGTTCTGTTCTCACGCTATAACTATCGTCACGTCATACCAACTAGCCCAAACTTCCACACTTCTAAGCACACTAGAGTTCTATACTCCATCTCAGAAGTTTCCTTCAGCCTGTGAAGACTACAGGGTGTGGGAATCGAGGCTAGCTCGCCACCTTTGCGCGGGCTTTGCCGCCTCTTTCTGTCATTCTGATGTCCCGACATGACTCCCCTCCTTTGTGGTCTGCCACGCTGGGAGAGCGGGGAGTGACGTTAAACACCTCTCACCCGATAGCGGATGTCGACTTTGGCACCGCACGCAAAGTCTCTTGGGGACGTTTCGCGCACGCTCGTCGGGAGTCAGAGAGAACCCCTTTAGGACGACATGGGGTAAGCATGTATTTATTTTCTGCCCGTCGGCTCCCTTTGTTTCGGGCTCGTTTGGACTTTGAGGACTTTGCCAACGACGCCTTGCACCCGCAGCGAATGCTTACTTCTTGTCGCCCCACCTTCGTATGCTAGGCTGAAGAGTGGTGCGGTGTCTTAGTGCATGGCCAGGCTACGCCGACCCATATCTCAGAAACTAACATGAGCGCCTTTGCCCTCGCTCGAGAAACCGGGCCCTTTGTCCCGGTGTCCCCATGAATCACTTTTACTACAGAGATGTGCTCATGGCACCTTTGTGTAGTAGTTTTTTTTTTTTTTGTAGTAGCCCATTTGCTTTACTGCCACGCCTTTGCAACTGGCTCTGTACTGCGTTTTGGTGTTGCCGCAGACAATAAAATGTTGCAACATTGAGCAGTACCGTGTTCTCACCACGGCAATGGGTAATGCGTGCCCTTCGGCTCGCTAATACCGGACCCACGCTAGTGGCCGTACTCCTTCGGGATACGTGGGCACTACACTGGGGGAGTCTGGTAAGACGTTCACTCAGGACTGCAGCAACCGCTGCGTGCACGGCGTCACGGGTTCGCTCTGGGCACTGTGGCCTTCGGAAAGCTCCCTCGCTCAGCCGCTACGCAGTGCGCCACTTACCTGGTTAGCAGCTAAAATCGTCCGCGTGGGGACTCCCCCTTTTCACCGCTGTTTCGTTCCCGACGCTTGCATGTGCGAAGGCACTGCGAGCGGCCATCGTACCAGAATAAATGTTCTCGGCAGACAACAGGGGCATTAGATAGCGCGTCAGCTACCACGTTGGTTGTGTGTTCATCACAAGAGGGGGTGACGACATGGAAGGGTGCCGAAAAGTTTCCGTCGATAGAGGCAATGGTCTCTTTGTGCAACGCGGCATCTGCCTAAAAAGGTCAGCAGACAAAAATGTAACGAAGCAGGCATGTTGCGACGAGCACGAATCGCGCAGGCGAACTGACTTGGAGCTTTTGATACCGCGTTGGGCACCAGTGTAGTGTACACATATCCCGAAGAAGTACAGCCACTAGCGTGGGTCTAGTCTTGGTGAGCCGCAGGGCACGCATTAACTGTCGCCGTGGCAAGAACACGGTACTGCTCAAAGTCGCAACATTTTATTGTCTGTGGCAACATCGAAAACTCAGTACAGGGCCCGTTGCAAAAGGCACGTCGGGAAATCAAATGGGCTTATCCATGCCACGGGCGAGAAGTAGCACGTCTCCATGGTAAAAGTGATTCATGGAGACACCGGGATAAAGGGCCCGGTTGGTCGAGTGAGGGCAAAGGCGCTCGCGTTGGCTTTAGAGGGATACGGGTTGGCGTGGCCTGACCACACTAGGACACCGCACCGCTCTGCGGCCTAGCGTTCGCAAAGGGGCAACAAAAGGTGTGCGTTCGCCGCAGGTGCGAGGCGCCGTTGGCGAAGTCCGAACGAGCTACAAACAATAAGAGTCGAGGGATGGAAAAGAAATGCGTGCTCACCCTCGGCTCTTCTGGAGAAATCTGACTCGATCCCGACGCGCGCACACAAGACGTACCGAGAGACTTTGCGCACGGCACTACAGTCGGCATCCGCTACTGGGTGAGAGGGGTTAAACATCACTCCTCGCTCTTCCAGCGCGGCAGACAGGGGAGGAGGCGAGTCATGTTGGGACATGAGAACGGCAGCAATAGTCAGCAAAGCCCGCATAAAAGCGGCGGGCTAGCCTCGATTTCCACAAAGGTTTCTTAGCCAAAATGAGGGGCGATGAGCCCCTTCTCCTGTATTCATTCGCGCCTGCTCAATGTCTTCCTGATTGATGTCTATTCGCACACGCAGGGCAAGTAAAGTGAACAGACGGCACCGCTGATTAAAAAAAAAAATGGCTGCACACATTGCACCTGCTGCCTCTAATTCAAATTTATCAAGTCATAATTATGCACTGAGTGAAGCTTAAATTACGAACTGACGCTCGTATTTGCTTTATATTAAAATGTTGACACTTTGACAGCAATGTTTTTGTGGCTATATTGTGCTAATCCAAGAGTCCTTATTAAGTTTTTGGTGCATTAGGCTTAGCAGGCCTAGCTAAAGAAACTGCTGATCTTGCAAATAACAACAAAATATGCCTGATGCTTTGTCCTAAGTGTGAAACATTGCGAAGCGATGGTTTTTTTCACTATTTATTTGTTACTTTGAGCGCACTGGGCGAAGACGAAGTGCAAGTTCGGATCGAAGCGAGCAGTTGCATGGGTGCTGCCATGGCAATTTGTAATCACAGTTACAGCCAGTTATTAACGCAGCTATTGAAACGGACATAATATAAAGGTAAATAATAATAAATATATCACCCACTAACGTGACATAGACATCCCAAACAATCATTAATGTCTAAAACCATTCTGTTGTAAAATAATTATATTTGGAATGAACTATATTTTGCTGTGCAGGAGTGTGACTTGCTTACACCCCGTAGCCTTGGTAGTGCTTAACGGTTGTGGTAAGATGAAATACAAAGAATATGCAGTATCGTTTGCTACATTCAGTGTGTATGATCATCCTATGCAGCTCTACAGGACAGCACGTAGTGTTGCCTGCTAGGTCCCATATTGCCCATGTGCTACACCTTGACTACTAAAGTGCTTCGGCGCATCATGTGGTTGTTTTAGAAGTTCGGAAGCATTGACCTCTCAGTCTGACTTAAAACATTATTTACCTTAGGTGTCCTTTAAACGTTGCGAACCCAAACATTGCAGGATGGAATCTTAACAACGGTGGACAAATTTCGATGAAGGCAAAATATCGTATTTACTTGCGTAATGAACCAACATTTTTTTTTTTTCTCAGAAAAGTTAATGCCAATTTCGGGGAAGGGATCATTACACGGAAGAAAAAGGTCATGGGAGTTATAACAGCGAAAATTTAGCATGACAGTTTTGCTTGTTCTGGCCCGCAAAATGCTCAACGAATCTTTTTGTAGCCCAAAGCTCTTGTTCTCTCCCGTAACGAATGCGCATGGATCGACTCGAAATGTTGTCCAGCCGCTCGTTTACCATGCTCCATTGCATGCTCGACCTACTTTAAATTTAAAACCAGCCGCGTAGCTAGCGTACCGACCGAATGCGCCCTGTGCAACAGGTGTCCTCAACTAAGTTCACTATGACAACTCCGACAGCAAACGCGCAGCGTCCGATGGCGTCGTGTTTTGTGATGATAGTAACTAGTACTAAAAACAGGTCAGAGCTTTCTCCCGTCCCCAGTTTTACTAGCAAACCCCTTCCTTACCCCCCCCCCCCTCAAAAAAAAAAAAAGAGTTACTGGATCTGCCCCTGCCTAAAACATATTTAAAATCAATTTTAAAGTGTTCACAGTTCACGTGCACATGAAACGGTCCACTTCATGACACCTACGCCCACATTGTTGTAATGTGAACAACCAATGACCCCCTATGTCAACAGCGCGTCTCTCGCGACAAGAGTCGCGGAAGACGCGCTGTCGGTGCGGTGGATACTTTGCATGGCCTCTAAGATGGTGGGCACGTGGCATAGAAACTCGCCACACGCCTGCCATCCCGGAGGCCATGCGTTTGGTTTTTTGCTTTGTTCTCGAGCCGCTGTGCTTGCGTGACCCGAGGCATTCGACAGATGGCGCTTTGCCGCGAAAGACGCGACTTCTAAATTTTGATTGACGTTGCCCGCGTTCGCGCTGTTCGCAACTGTTTAATATAGTTGCAAAACAATGCTTTGATTTTTATTGCGTCATTATTTTGTTACAAAACGTTACAAAACAAGTGTCGTAGTGTTTGTCTCGAACTAAATGTAATACGATGCTCACTTGCAATTGTGAATTGCAGCACGCCAAAATAACTGAAACATTTTCGGCATTATAACCGCATTTGGCTTTTATGAGCTTCCTACTTTTCTGAAGCGAGGGTGGATTGACGAAAGAAGTTTTCCTGGTCCTTAATTTTCAGGAAACCGCGCCTCGACATCAATGAAAGGGGGGGGGGGGGTAATGCACATTCGCTTTCGAACGGCTCTCTTTGCACTACCCAGTTATGGCCAGGGCAGCGATGAGGGCGTTAAAAGCCGTTCGGTGACCTGTCGTCAGGTTTGAGTGTTAGAGGGACCGCAGTTTAAGAGGGGAAGTCCTCGGAGAAAGGGACTTCACACTCGCAGCCAGTTGGACTGCGCTCGCCTGCACGGCGAAGCGCATGCCTGGCGCTTGTCCAAAGCATCCAAAGATAAGTTTCCTTGCGCGAGCGTGGGCAAGCTGGCTTGGGTGGATTGGGGAGTGCAAAATATGCAAGTAAAAAATTTTTTTAGGAAAGCTGCCACAATATTAGGGGTGCGCAAATTATGCGAGTAAATGTATTGAACCTGTATGTACACTGGTGAGCAAAAGTATGAGGGTCATTTCTGTCTTTACCTTTATCGTCTGTGCCGCTTAGTGGCAAGCCGCCTGCTGTCGAGAGCATTTCTGTGATGAATTCAGTCTGAGTAATGCGCTCAACAGCTATTCTGTTAAAGCAATGCTCTCGACAGCAGAGTGCTCGCCATTAGGTGGCATAGGTGGCGATTTTGGCTTGCACTTCCATGGTCCGTAACTTTCTCGTGGGTGTCCAGCGTTATAAAGTATAATAAATAGTTCCGTAGGTAAGAAACCAGGGCAGAAAGAGTGCCAACTTATAATAACTTTTGTTCAATAAAACAGTGGTCAGTACACATATGAGTGATATTATGTGACAGCATAAAGCACCCTTCTAGGGATTCCATTGCCTTATTAAACAGCCACAAATGACGAAGTGCTTAGATAGTCTGGGTGAAGGCCTGAAATGAGATTGGCTTCGGTAATTTCGTATGTGAGCTGGTCACGATTTTTATGAACTACTGTACATGCATTCAAAGAAGGCTTGCAACCACAGAAAGAAACACCGATCAGTCATGATAAGCATTCTTGTATTTATTTTCATGATCACAGAGCTGATTATTTAGACATTGACCTGTCCAATCTACGTACACATTACTGCATAAAAGGGGAATATTATAAACTATGTTTTTCTGTACAGCTGACAAACTGCACTCTTGTTTTTTTATTACAGCTCTTCATTGTATCGAGACCATATTTTAGACACAAACTTCCATATTAACACAATTGTAAGTTGTTGGGAATGTAGGTCGACCACCGAAAATTGCGCATAAAAAGAAAAGTGAGCTCATTTTGTAACGGAAATTTATTTAAAGTGGTCGCTAGACTGGCTACACAATTTCACTTGTCATCATGAAGCCAGCCCTTAATTTGCTCAGCCAGGTCCCGTCATCCTTAGTACATCATCGGCATTTCCATTTGCATAATGAAGATTCAGAGCTTTTGCATGGCGTTTTCATGTGTCACCAGCAGAGACCAATCACATATAGTTCCTTGAAAGACGTGGCACAAGCTTAAAAACAAGAATAAAGAAGATTGGCACTCTTTCTGTTCTTTCTTCGTTGTTCTCATTTTTAAGCTGGCGCCGCCACGTCTTTCAAGTAATGATGCACCAACTAGCCCTACGTAGCATATTATTATGCATATAGTTTGTCCATCTGTGTAGTAAGGTCTAGAAAGTGTCCAGACTTAAACTCTCGAAACCCTTGGTGCTTGGCATTTAGTGAAACTTTTAAAAAAACTATGTCGAAAGGACAAACTCTTCCACCATCTACCGTTGCCACTGCCGATTGGAACAGTGGCTTTTCTGTCAATGATTCACACTTCGAAAATGGTCTACATGCAGCTTTTATAGGAATGTTAGTTGTTGTTGGAGGAGTTGCTTTTCCAATCAGCAGTGGCACTCTTGGCAGCAAACAGTGATTTAATAAAAGTTGGAAAGAAAAAAACTTTTTTTTTATGTGCTTGCTCATGGTCTCAAAGCAAACAATGTTGTAACCACACCACAGTGTCCCAGGTTTCTTGTTTGTTTTGCCATTGCTTAGTTTTTGTTTCGATTGTAAAGCGACTCCCAATTTTGGATTTCAAATTCACGTCTAACTGGTCAATCTACAATTGTATAAATGTCATACTAAGTTGGCAGGAAGTGGAGAATGGCATACCTTAGCTTTGGAACACAAACCTATCTTTTAAAGGACAGATTGTAAAGATGAAGGATTATAGCTATACTTTTTCCACTGCTTTAATCGAGTTGCACATCATAAAGTCAGGGCTTCAAATATATCAGCGTAAACTCCACTATTCAAGCCTGAACATAAAGACGATAGCCAGCATTGGGCAACTTTAACGACTGCATTTTCAGACTGAAAGCCACCTTGGGAACACACAAATTGACAAGCTCATCGTAGGAACTGCTGTTAAGGATCTATGTCTTGGAATGGGCTGATTGAAATGAGAGCATGAATTTGTTACTATTTGGCTGGTAGCACCAGCTGGTTGTGTCAGTATTAAAACACACAGGTATGTCTAAAAATCTGATTGTGTCTTGAGTGGGCAATTCATGTTTAAAAGAGCCCTGCCACACTTTTTTTTAGTGAACACATTGAATGACTTCATTTAAACGAGTTTATCGCCTCACGAACTGACCTCCTCAAAAACTTTTGGTATCCATAAAGTACGATCAAGGTTACTGAGATTTGTTGCACGCTGTAAATGCTTTCTCTCTTCTTTTGCCCCCTAGAAGCAGGCTGGAAGCTAAGGAGGGAAGGATGGCATGGGGGGAAAGTAGCTATGTCTCGCGCTCATCATGACCTGGAGCACTTTCTATTTCTTATTTAGCCCCTCCCTCCTCGAATGCGCAACCTACTTGAAATGTTATTGTGAACGTGCACACGGAAATGTGGTAGCGTCTTGTGGTGGCAATGGTAACTATGAAGCCAACGGTGCTAGAATCAGCCAGTGGCCATGAAGATGGGTATATGACCCGGTCATTTGGCTGCATGGCATCACTTGTTCAGACAAGAGGGAAAATTATGTAGCCTACTTTCAGAAATACTGTAATTTCCAGGCTATATGCTGCGCTATACTGCTTGGCTTGCGTGTTCTCTAGGGCCTCAACTACAGATGAGAAGCATATAGCGACAGCGCTGAAAAAGGGTTGCAGGGCCTCTTTAAGAAAAGATGATGTCTAGAAGTGTTTAAAACGAATAGGATATTATGAACCTGTGGGGATGACATCAGTTGCAATAGGTAGTCATTTACATACCTAAATTTGTCTAGGAAAAAATTGCCTACAATTTTTTTGGGGGGGAGGGGAGGGTACCAATGAGCGACAAATAAGTTGTTTGTGTTGTTATATACACATGGCTTTGCATGAGTAACAGGAAAAAATATTACTATGCATTGCAATAAATGCCTGTAGAGTTTATAAACTTACAAAAATAAGGTCACAAAGTGGCGTCAAATGGAAATTCGAAGGTAAAAAACCCATTTTCTGTCTAGTCAGCATCATTTTGCTACGTATGCTTTTGCAATGTTGCTTACTTATTAACATCTGAATCTTAACTCATAAGTAACACCTCGTATGATGGGCAGACATTTACTGAATAAAATTCTAATTTGGCAGTCGAGTATCAATTCAGAAGAATGGCCACTAGACACTTGCGATAGAGAAATCGGCACAAACTTCCATAGTGCAAGTACACTGCGCAGGTGAGCACACTGAAGAAAACTTTATTGTGAATGTGCCGGTAAGCAAAAACAAGTCTGAAACCTATAATAATCATTTGTGTTATCGCCAGCGAGATGGACGCCATGTATGTGAGTCCCCAAAACAGGATATGCAAGCAACCACAGCAGCATCGTTTGCGTCAGTCGGCGCTTGAAATTAAGCAGACGTATTCGTGTACTGGGGAACAATAAACACGAGAGTAACAATTTGGTCACCTTTTGAAAGATTCTAAAGCCATCAGTTCTGTAGGCACAATGAGCGGGAACATTCCATAGGACGAAGCCGAAATTAGCCAGCGCACCACTGTATTTTAGCATTAAAAAAATAAGCGAGCGACATCAGGGTTAGGAAAAAATTTCATGCATTTTCATAATGTGGTAGTGCTTGCCAAGCAAAGAAAATTATCAAAAAAGGCACACATTTTAAATATACAGGCAATGACGTACATGTACATCGTTGGCCCTCAAATTAAGGTAATAATTGTAGACAAGCAAGTTGCAATCACATTGTCAGTGTTGACCAAGAACATGTCACTAAGAATGGGAGTGATACATGAAACAATACAGATTTTATTATTCTAAATGGGAGATGAATTTATTTGAGAAATGGAGTATAATAAAAATTAAAATGACTGGGAGTTCCGTGCAGCTATAACATAAAATGAAGTGGCAGACCATCCAGAGACAGGACTGCCTTTGGTGGAAGGTGATTCATCATGATAGCCATGTAAATGTGGCATGTTCTTCCTAATTGCAGCCAACATTTTTTTTTTAATTTGATAGAATTTGACACTGAATTATCTCTGCAGAGTAAAGAGGGTATTGTACAGAATTGGTGGTGGTAGATGTGAAGTGACTGAATACAAACAGCTTGTTCTGCTTTTCCTTGTGATAATTTGGGGGATGGATAACAGTCTTTCTCACATCAGCAATGTGCAGCATGCGGTTATTGCTGTTATAATATAACATGTGTCTCGTGTTTTGACAAAGGGAATGAAAAGAGCACTGTTAGGTTTTTTTTTTGAATATTTGATGCTTCATGAGCAATGTATGTATTGGCAGCCATAATGATAATACATAATTATCTTGATAATTTTATCTTTTTTAATATCTCCAATCTTGGCTATCATCTGTGCACTTTAAGTAGCCTTTCCATTTTTAGAAGTACTGATCATGGACTAACAAGAATTGTCAAATGCTTTTCCAGGTGCCATCAAGCAGGCCTCACTGTGCTGAAGATGGACAGGCTGACGCTGAAGTCCTAAAAAAACTATTAACTAATGCAGGCAACATGCATGAACGCCAAGAGAAAATGGACCGATTGCTTGCCAACATGAAAAAAGAAAATGAGTCTCTTTGGCGGGAAGTTGTCCGACTGCGCGAGAAGCACAATAAGCAGCAGCAGATTGTTGAGAAGCTCATTCAGTTTCTTATCACCATGGTGCAGGCCAACCGTAACATGACTGTAAAGCGCAAGATACCACTGATGCTTCATGATAGCCCAACCTCCAGCTCCAAGAGGTGTCGACTGACCAAGAGTGCCTTCATTACCGATTACCAGGTAAGTTCAATATGTTTTGCTGATGAGACTGTGATGGAAGCAATAGCTTTTACTGGGACCTAGATCTTACCTTTTTTATTTGTCTTTTTTTATATTTAATTGAAAGACCCCTAAACATTTTGTCAAGACCAAAGATGTGTATCATTCTAAGAATATATTTGCAGTGCCTCCTCTATTTTTTTCAATGCCAGCCAGATGCGCCCAATCCAGCCATTCACCACCCTCTTCTCTAACTCTCCCCTGCTCTCACCTATCGCTTAGCCTTTGCGTGTGCTTTACAGTCATCGGATAGAGAACCGATTATGTGGTGCCTCACGGCAGAAATTATATGAAGTAATTTTTTGTTCAGTTGTGTACCGATCTGTGGAGCGGTGTCTTGTATTTCTCATGTTCACAATGTTGGCAGTCATGCTGCCTCTGTAACAGATATAGTGTTTTGAGATAGTGTGTTGCCATTCATGGCGCTACGCGGGCAACCAATAGGAAAGCATCCTAGCAACCAATAGGAATGCATCAATAAGACGCATCCAATAGGAAGCATCCTGCGGCATGCACCATCTTTAAGAGCGTTGTGATGTGGCGGCGGCAGCATTGCTTCAAGCGCCAAAGAAGGAACCCAAAGGAACAAATCTGACAGACGTATGATATCGTAGAAGGAAAAACTTCTTATCACATCTCTGTGGGAAAGCACTCGGATGCACGTGTGATGCAAACAGCCCTACCCTACATGTGGCGTCGCATCATCATCACTCCCTTAACTAGACCGATCGAAGGCTCTAGTTGAAGAGCGTGTGTTTTCTCTGGCATTGGAAGAAATAAAGGAGGCGTTAATATTGCCAAAATTATTTTGGCATAGTTTTTGCTATGTGCTCAGCAGTGCTTGAATGCACACACCTGCACACCAGTCTCACCAAGCTACATGATTCAGGCCAGCTTTGTTCTGCTCCAGCTTCATTGGCATGTTGTAGCCATATTCTTGTTGTACATTTTGAAACACTATCAACTGACTCAATATGTAGCTATGTGTGCGCTTAGATGTTTTGATCGTTAGGGGCTAAGAGAGCTAGCATGCATTGGCAAGGCATATGTGATGTCTGAGAGGCAACAAGATGCAGTGGTGATTACTTTTTTTGGTGAACTATACTGCCTTTATGTTTCTTCTGTTTGCGAGTGGTGGGTAGAGTGGAAAGGTCGTGAGTTGGTCACTAGCCTCATACGGAGTTCACTATAACAGTAATCACCACTGCATCTTGTTGCCTCTGAGACATCACATATGCCTTGCCAATGCACGCTAACTCTCTTAGCCCCTTTTTCAACGTACGTGTTGAAATGTACGCGTTAAAACACCTACAAGACCTGCGCTAGCCATCAGCCCAGCCACGGTGGTCTGATGGCTAATGTACTCGGCTGCTGACCCGCGGGCTGCGGGATCAAATCCCGGCTGCGGCGGCTGCGTTTTCAATGGAGGCGAAAATGCTATAGGTCTGTGTGCTCAGATTTGGGTGCACGTTAAAGAACCCCAGGTGGTTGAAATTTCGGAAGCTCTCCACTACAGCGTCTCTCATAATCATATGGAGGTTTTGAGACGTTAGGCCCCACATATCAATCATATAATTCAATATGCCAGCCATCACTTTAAACGAATCTTCCCACGTGCAACGCTGCTGTTTCGCTTTCCATCAGGGTTCTGCCCAAGTTTTTCACTTTGTGAAATGCCTGGGACTTCGCAACATCACAGCATAATATCTCAAGGTTTCTCAGGTGTAAATAAATGCTCTTTAATTTAGTTCCAGCAAGCACTTTGCCTTGGTATTTATGGTGCATAGAAAAGTGAGCCCATGACACACACATACACTGACAATAAAAAAATAATAATAAATTACCCACATGCACATCTGCAGCAACATATAGGTTAAGGGGAGACAGGGCAATGAAAATTATTTTTCTTATTAATGGGGGATAAAGTGAGGAAATGTGGCATGCAGATGTGATTTGTTGTGGTGATATATTAAATGAGTTTATAGCTGTCTGTTGCAGTTTTTGAGCTACAACATTTAATTAGCTCTCATTGTAATCCCAAAATTAACTAGTTAGACATAATTTCATCAGGATATTTGTGTAAGAAAATTCATGGAAGCTCATTTTGTGCCGTTATGTCATTGGTTTATTTTTTAGTATTCAAATAAACGCACAGAAAATCATCGTCATCATTATCAGCCTGACTACGCCCACTGCAGGACAAAGGCCTCTCTCATGTTCCACCAGTTAACTCTGTCCTGTGCTTGCTGCTGCCACTTTATACCCGCTAACTTCCTAATCTCATCTACCAACTTGACTTTCCGTCTCACCTTCACCCGCTTGTCTTCTCTTGAAATTCAGTCTGTGATTCTTAATGACCAGCATTCATCTTGCCTTTGCGTAGTGTGCCCTGCCCATGACCATTTCTTCTTCTTGATTTTTTTATTATGATGTCCCTAAAGGGACATCAAAGTAAAATAACAGTTTATGTAAGAGTGAAAGCGCAATGTACAACATTGTATGCAATGAGCAGGACATTCGCAAAATGATCCCGATATTGTCAGACTTATCGCCTACTACTAATAATCAAATTAGTTGCACTAAATAAAGAACCTTCCATGCATCAAAAGACATAATGAAATGCTTCTTGCTCGTTTTTGTTTGATTCATGGAAAAAAGAACCGCCGGACCTATGGGAAATGGCACGAGTGGTTCAGCAGTTCAATTTGAACCACTCGCGCCACCTTCCATTATTCGTTGCCAAAAAGCCCCTCTGACGTCTTGTACTGACGTGCTATGCAGTGAGGGTGAGGCAAAGGCAGGCTTTCTACTACCTTATGATTGCTCAGATGAAACTTTTTTTTTCTCCCTTAAAGCAAAATGTAGCAATATACAAGCCATATTTTTACTTGGACCGCTGAATTGCAAAAATTACGTCGCACTATGAGTCAAATTGCTATTCTTCTCAACTTTTTGACAATATTCTGCCAATATTTTTGCTGCATTTGCTCCCGAAGTATTTTGTTCATTTAATATAGGAGCATATAAAACAAAAGATCTAAATATGTTACTTTTATGCTTTTATAAAAAATAAATTGAGCATTTATGCTTTTTATAAAAAACGCTAAACATGCAGCATATTGCAACTTTTCACCAAGGCAAAAGATAAACAAGTTGAAAATAAAATGTATAACCTATAGTCTTAAAAGAGTTGCCCCTTGGGATTAATGAAAACGTTGTTTCATAGTAATTTCTCAAATCAGAGATATTATATAAATTATTTAGTACAACACAATTTCACTTGGGTGCCCAACGTTTGAAGTGCTCTTTAAGCAATATATTGACTACTTCTCATATTCACATATACCTGCAGGATTTTTTTAGCATTATCGGAGATGGTCGAAAATTGACTGTGGACACTTGTTCTTTTTTTAAACAATACAGCTTAGCTTTTGTTTATGAAATTCTATGCGCCAAACTCCACATCGAGATGGAAATACAGGTGAGAAGTCAAGACAATACAAATGCCGGCATTTCTGTTTACTTGGCTTCTTTATCTCTTGCTTGCGTGTTTGCATGCTCAGTTTTTTTTATATAAGCTCTGCAGGTTAAAAGTTTTTTCTGATTGTGCAGCCTGGAAGTTCCCAGTATTCTGAAGGCCCTGTAATTCATGATGTTACTGACCTGATGGAAGAACTTGGTGACACAGACAGCATCATTGTTCCTGAGCTGATGAGCTCTGCCCCAATGGCAGCTTTGGTTTCTGCACCCTCGATGCCTGAACTGCCCTCGGCTTCATCAGTGACCTGTAGTGAATTGGACACTATTCCTGTAGTGTCCAGCCCCCTCAGTTCAGATGATGTTATCGAGCCTCTGTGTCTGCTCGAACCCTTACAAGATCCTCAGAGGTGAGCATGTGCTTTCAGTTCTGGCTGTAGCGGGATTCACTGTATGATCACCCTTTATAATATCAAAGTAATGCAAAGTGTGATATTAGCTCTACCCCGCGGGTGCCGAGATTTCACTTAAAAAGCTGTGTCCAACTTGGGACTGTCATTCGAGAATTCAGCGGCCTGGCTGTACCTTTTGCCTTCACTACCAATGACTCTTCGAGTGTCTTGTGTTTGAAAGCTGGAAATCTGCAATGTTAATCTGTTGTAGTTATTGTTATGCAGCATTGCTTAGGTACATGCTCAATTTGATATTTTAAATATGAGTGCGTAACATAAACATGAACTTAGTAAGACAAGGACCAGCGCGTAATCTTGCCAACTCGCTTAATCAGCCATTTTAACATGCTGAATGACACGCATATGTTTTTGAGTAATGACATTAAACACACTTGTATGCAGTTTTAAGTCACCTCTATCGCAAGTTACTGAATGTGAAAACCTTTCTTACTGATGTGTTACTTCAAAATATTTGGATTCCCACTCTTTGTAGAGTGCATGTCTTGCTTAAAAAGGAACTGTGGTGTTTTTTCGATATTCACCGATTTCAATAAAACTTTGAAGATGTGTTCTCATCGGTACCATGGTGATATTTGCCAAATTATACTATTGTATAAGCCATTTAGTTTTTTAGAAAACACATTTTAAGATTGGTAGCCGATTCTGGAATGACACGTATAAACACGAGCCACCCTGTTTATGTGACGTAAGGGCTTATTCTTCTTCAAAAACCCTACCTTTCCCTGCAGACGGATGCAGCATGCGCTGCTACGAGGCGACGACAACGCGAGCATAGTTAAGTTTTGTCAACTCCATACAGCGTGTTAGTCCTCGTTGACGTCGGGTTTTGACAATATTGAGCAACGAGGAAATCGATTGAGACATGTCAGATGCTTCACGCGGCGGCGGGTCGAAATCAGAAAGCGATGTTTCCATGCTCAAGTAGTAGCTGCAATCATTGCTTAACTCGCACTGGTAAGTTCAGACAAGCTGTCACAGCTTTATTCTGCGTCTGATGACATCGCCAATTTGCTTTTCGCGATATAAGAAGAGGCTCGTGAGCTGTGTTTACACCCTGGCCAGCCACCATAGCAGGGTGTAGCGGATCTCATGACGTCATCGGCAACGGATTTTTGTGACGTCATCCGATACCTTCCGTGGATGACGGAGTAGCTCTGTGTTTCGGTTTCTCTTTTGACTCGTTTATTGCTTAATTAAAATTATTGATGAGTGTCTAGCAAAATGAACCACGCTAGCTTTTGCAAGAATGTCAGTACTCTTTGAAAACAGCATTGTCTCAGTATGGTTGAAAATGTACCAGAGTTCACTTTTAAAAAAGTCATCAAGATTACCGTATAACAAATATAATGAAACTGTACAGTCTTGTTTAATTTTTTTTGTGTGTATTCTAAATATGTAATTATTTCTAAAATATTCTCTTTAGTTTCAAATTTAATTAAAAATTAATTACCACTATTTTTGGGAACAATAGAGCAATAATTACTCATCCAAATTTTGCTTTAGGCACATAGCTAGATATGGGAAAAGAAAGCTTTGCAGTGGGGGGAATACTTGTTTGATATAAAAACTATTGCCAATTATACAGCTTATCAAAGTTTTCTGTTCAAAATATATCTAATTATTTGGTTAATGAATGTACAATAAAATAACAATAAAACATATGCAAACATATGTTCCTACCCCTCCGGGCAATAATCATGTCGCTCAGCACTGCAAGTAGAATTACCATTTTAAATGCTTTGATTACAGAAAATTGTTCTGAAAGTTCACCAAGAGTTACAAATTTAGGTTTTGAGAAAATTCAGGAAAGCAAGTAATGCCTATCTTGAACTTATTTAACACAAAATGTCACAATTTTTTTCTTTTAGTGGATAGGCATATAAACTGCTGCACAACTCCTTTAAAGAAAAGATCCGCGACCTTTTTGGCGACACCATTGGACGGCAGATCGCAGCGCGGAATCAACTGGCGGCCCGTGCACAGACGTCGACGGAGTCGTACGTCGCGTACATTCACGACGTCATCGCCCTATGCCGCCAGATTGACGAGCACATGAGTGAGTCGGAGAAAGTGGCCCATGTGCTGAAAGGCATAGCAGACGACGCATTTAATCTACTAGTTTACAACAACGTTGCCACCGTCGACGCCATCATTAAAGAGTGCCGGCGGTTCGAAGAAGCCAAAAGCCGCCGTATCACTCAGCGATTCACCCGGCTGCCCAACACGGCCGCGACCTCATCGTGTGAAGCCGCCCGCCAGTCCCCCACGTATGACAACGTCACACGTATTGTTCGTCGGGAAATCGAAGCCGCCTCTCCGGCTCCTCTTCAGCCACCCGTTTTTGCAACGCTCGCCTCTGACCAACAACAGCCGTCAGTGGCGTTAATACAAGCTGTGGTGAGGCAGGAGTTTGCGAACCTCAGACTTCCCTCAGCATGTCCCCTGACTCGCCCTGAAGTCCCGTCCTACTCCCGAGGACACGCTCGCCGTTCACCTCCAACAATGCCCTTCCGTAACCCTTCGGAATGGCGAACACCCGACGACCGACCTATTTGTTTTTCCTGCCACCAGCCTGGGCACGTTTCTCGCTATTGCCGCCGCCGTTGGTCAAACCAACCACGTCAGACTTTCTCTACCTCGGCGCTCATGCATCCGACGAGCCCTCGACGTTCAGACGCCACACCCTTCAATTTCTATTCGTCGTCATCTTACGAGCCTTCCACTGACGCCCCTTTGCCCGGTCGCCGCTACCCTGACGCCCCTTCGTTCGGTCGCCGTAGCTCTCGCTCCCCGTCGCCGTTACGTCGCCAATCCCGCTCTCCGCCACCTCGGCGCTTTTCTTCGCCGAGCTTCTCTGGACGACCGCAGCAGGAAAACTAGATATTGCAGCTTATAGAGGTGAAGCTGCAATACCAATGACGACCGAAAATTCTCTACTGACGCTTCCCACGCACCATAGCCTGCTTGAAGTACAAGTCGACCATGTTCCTGTGACCGCCCTCATTGACACAGGTGCGCACCTGTCTATTATGAGCGCTTCTCTATGCTGCCGCTTACAAAAGATTATGACGCCATCTACGACGCAGGCAATACGTGTTGCCGATGGTGGTACTGTACCAGTAATCGGAATGTGCACTGCTCGTGTCAGCATTGCCGGTCGTCACGCCGTGGTCCTTTTTGCCGTGCTAGCCTGCTGCCCTCATGACCTCATACTTGGTCTTGATTTCCTTTCGGCACACTTGGCCTAATTGATTGTTCGTCTGGTACCCTCAGCCTTGATCTACCAATCTTTGCCAACTACTCTGCAAAGCCCACCAGCCGCTTGAGCCCAACCACTTTCGTTCGCCTGCCACCTCGAGCCGTCACGTACGTGTCTTTGTCATCGACCCCTCCCGTTGCTGACGGGGATTATATCGTTACACCAATTACTGACGTTCGGCTGACGCGCAGTGTTACTGTGCCCTACACCATCGCGACCATAGCGGATAACTGTGTGTTACTTCCGCTCCTTAACTTTGGTTTCACCCCTCAAGTGTTGCCCTGCCAGATGTCTCTAGCCCAGCTAACTGCCATAACAGAGGACGATGTCAGTGTTGTCGCTGTATCTGCTCCTGATCGAAGCGCAGTCTCACGGTCACCCAGCTCAGACGATGGTATGTTTCGAAACATGATTGGATCGGAGCTGTTACCTCACCAGGCCGATGCTCTCTGCCAAGTTTTGGCCTTATACAGTGACATTTTCGACACCTACGATCGTCCCTTGGGCCAGACTAAAATTGTCACTCACCGAATCAACACTGGTGACTCTGCGCCCATTCACCGTCGGCCGTACCGCGTGTCAGCATCTGAGCGAGAAGTGATTCAGAAAGAAGTGGCCAAAATGCTTACGAAAAACGTAATCGAACCATCAACGAGCCCTTGGGCATCTCCCGTGGTATTAGTAAAAGAGAAAGACGGCTCATGGCGTTTCTGCGTTGATTATCGCCACCTCAACAAAATTACGAAAAAAGACGTGTACCCTCTACCACGCATTGACGATGCCCTTGATTGCCTCCATGGCGTCACCTTCTTTTCATCTCTCGACCTCCGATCTGGATACTGGCAAATTGCTGTAGATGACATGGACCGAGAAAAGACCGCCTTCGTTACCCCTGACGGCCTTTACCAATTCAAGGTCATGCCGTTCGGGCTCTGCAACGCTCCAGCGACCTTCGAGAGAATGAGGGACACGCTCCTACAAGGATTTAAATGGTCGACATGTTTGTGTTACCTGGACGACATGATCATTTTCTCACCTACCTTTGCAACCCACCTTGAACGCCTTTCGACCATTCTATCCATATTTCGACGGGCCGGCCTGCAGCTCAATTCCTCCAAGTGCCACTTCGGTCTTCGTCAGATTACCGTATTGGGTCACCTTGTTGACGCTGCCGGCGTTTGGCCAGACCCGGCGAAAGTACGCGCTGTAACAAACTTCCCAGTCCCACGCTCTGTTCATGATGTTCGCAATTTTGTGGGCCTCTGCTCCTACTTTCGCCGGTTTGTGAAAAACTTTGCGGCACTCGCACGGCCGCTCACCGACCTTCTCAAACAAGATGTCCCATTTTCTTGGGGCCCTCCTCAAGCTGACGCCTTCTCTCAACTAATCACCGCTCTAACGACACCTCCTATTCTTGCACATTTCGACCCCGATGCTCCCACAGAAGTGCGAACAGACGCGAGTGGTCACGGAATTGGTGCAGTTTTGGCGCAAATTCAGCGGGGCAACGACCGTGTAATCGCTTACGCGAGCCGTCTGCTTTCTAAGTCTGAACGCAATTATTCTATAACAGAACGGGAATGTCTCGCTCTTGTTTGGGCGGTTTCGAAATTCCGTCCTTACTTGTATGGCCGCCCTTTCCGTGTCATCACAGATCACCACGCGCTGTGTTGGCTTTCTTCTCTGAAGGACCCCACTGGACGACTTGGTCGTTGGGCATTACGCCTACAAGAGTATTCCTACTCGGTTGCTTATAAGTCTGGACGTCTCCATCTGGACGCCGATTGCTTATCCCGCTACCCTGTTGATCAGCCCGACGAACCAGACATCGAGCCTAGCCTCAGCGTCATGTCAATGTCCCAGTTTCTTCAGATTAGTGATGAACAACGTCGTGATGCTTCTCTGCGACAACTTATTGACCGTCTCGAATCTGCTCCGAACGACACGTCACTTCGCATGTACGTCCTCCTGAATGGCACGCTGTACCGTCGTAGCCTCCAGCCAGATGGCCCTGAGCTCCTTCTTGTCGTGCCGAAAAATTTGCGTTCAACCGTGCTGCACGAGCTTCACGATGAACCAACTGCTGGTCATCTGGGTGTATCTCGGACGTACGACCGCGTGCGTCGCCGCTTCTTTTGGCGCGGTCTCGCCCGGTCCGTTCGCCGTTACGTGTCCTCCTGCGATAAATGCCAACGTAGGAAGCGACCTACTGCGCCCCCGGCTGGACTTCTTCAACCGATCTCCATCCCAACCGAACCTTTCTTCCGTGTTGATATAGATCTTCTCGGTCCTTTTCCCGAGTCGGAATCGGGCAACAAGTGGGTCGCTGTTGCTATAGACTACGCGACTAGGTATGCCATCACTCGAGCGCTCCCCACCAGCACCGCTACTGACGTTGCGAACTTTTTGCTCCACGACGTCATCCTACAGCATGGCACTCCTCGCCAATTACTCACAGATCGTGGCCGCGCATTTTTGTCCCGTGTGATCGACGATCTTCTGCGCTCTTCCTCGACGCACCACAAGCTGACCACTTCCTACCATCCCCAAACAAATGGCCTTACCGAACGGCTAAATCGGACCCTAACGGACATGCTCGCGATGTATGTGTCCTCCGACCACCATGACTGGGACCTGGCGCTACCTCACGTGACCTTCGCGTACAATTCTTCGCGCCACGACACCACTGGTTATTCACCCTTTTATTTGCTTTATGGCCGTGATCCGACGTTACCACTCGACACCTTACTTCCAACCACTACAACGCCGTCAACCGAATATGCACGCGACGCTATAGCTCGTGCCGACCACGCACGTCAGATCGCCCGCTCTAGACTTTTGGCTTCGCAAGCCACCCAGAAAGCCATCTACGACAGCCGGCATGCTGACGTTCACTTCTCACCCGGTTCCCTTGTTCTCCTGTGGTGCCCAGTTCGTCGAGTTGGCTTATCAGAGAAGTTATTGTCTCGCTACATGGGTCCTTACCGTATCATCCGCCAGGTAACCGACGTCACCTATGAGATCATTCCTGCATCTGAGACCACAAGCCTGCCTGCAACCACACCCAGTGATGTTGTGCACGTCAGCAGGCTAAAACCTTACCACCTGCCTACTGAAGACCGTAGTTAATGTGCACCGAGACGGCGCTTTTACCGCCGGGGGGGTAACGCTACGTAGCTGACGTATCAGCGGTGAAAAGACGACAACGAGGAAGTGCTCTGTCGGTTGCGGGTGCTGCTTCCATCTTAGTCGACGCCATACGCATCATTTTGAATATAGATTTTAAATAGACACACCTCGTGTCATTTTTACGTAACAATATTATAGATGAAATCGCTTTTGAGCTATTTGTTGGTAGTTTTTGAGTAGCAACACTTGATAGACTCCCATTGTTATCCCAAAATTAGACATAAGTTTGCCAAGTTTTTTTTTGTGGAAATATTCACAAGGGCCGATTTTGTGCTGTAAACCCATTGGTTTATTCTATAATATTGATATAAGGCACCAAAAAATATTTTTGGAATGTCCTCTGCATATTGTCATGCTAAAAACTTACAGCCAATTATAAAAATATGTACGGTGTGCAAACAGATATGGGCAGCTTTTATGCACTCACCCAATGTTTCAGAGTTTAAGTGTGGAAAACGAAATGATTTTATTGTTATTTGTTGTGAAATGGCACAGGGGATGTCAATGACAGCAACTGCTCAAAGAGTGTAAGCTGAGAAAATAAAGCTAAAAAAAAATGGGACTCAGAAAGAAGCTGGTTTTATTTTTCTTTCGAGAAATGCAGCTTTGTGGCTATATTGAGGTTCGATCTGTATACAATAATCTCGATATGGTGGCACTATGCCAAGTGAAAACTGCTGATTTGCATTTTCGGAAGCCTAATTTTCTTATAGTTTTTCATGACTGCACACTAGTGAAATGCTTTTTTTCTGAACTTCTACTGCTTATTTTGGTTAATATTTCACAGTGATGTAAACGCCGGTCTCTGGATTGGGAAGTGGGGAAGCAACCAAATTTATCGTTCCCATCTTCATGTCCCCCCTTAATTGTCAATTCAAGCCCACAAGTGCCCCCATTGCTGTTTGAACGATTTGTCTTTTTTTTTTTTTTGCCTTTTCTTTCGTCTCGTTTTCAATAGCTTTGCCCAACTGTGGGGCTATTGATTGCGTTTTGATGTGTCAGTTTTATTAATACAAGCAGATGTTTTTTTCATTTTCTGCAGTTCAGACATTGAAGAAGTCGTGGATTCAGCTGTACCTAGTCCACAAGATCCACATGTAACCTCTTCTAAAGGCATGCAAGAACTTGTTTTAAAGGCTTCACAGGCTGTGACACCTGCTGCTTCCAACATAAAACTGGTCACTTCTCCAATATCTGTAAGTTGTTATGGCTAAGCTTAGTATTTATTGAATGTGTTTCGAAAAGTTTGTGTTTTAGATACGTGATATGGCTTTACACACCTTTTCAGCAATGCCTGTGTGGATGATATTCTAGGGGTCTTTTATACTTGCGTCACACAGGCGTTTCAGTGTGTTCTAACTGATGTTCTATAGGATTATTAGGGAAAAGGGTACTGCCACATAGTTGGCTTTAATCGTCACTGAATCAGTAAGTCCATTGAGTCAACAGCATGGTTTTGCTGTGCTCGATAAAAACCTGAAAGGCTTTTGAACTGCTGGCACAAGTACCCTTGTCAATGACATGTTTACACAGGTGCACCACATTGTTGTACAGAACAATGTTCCAGGAACTAGTTCCTTTTAGCAAGTGTAGAGGAATGCCACTCTTTTGCTAAAGATTGGTGGAACTGTAACAAGAAGTCGTTAAGTTTACGAAGGAATGGCTATACAATCTTATGTCGCATTGTTGTGCAGTAGTCAATGCAGGTCTAAAACAAGACTAACAATGCTCACAAGACTAACAAAACCCTGGAGATTGATATCTGAGGTTTAACGTCCCAAAACCACCATATGATTATGAGAGACGCCGTAGTGGAGGGCTCTGGAAATTTCGACCACCTGGGGTTCTTACGTGCACCCAAATCTGAGCACACGAACCTACAGCATTTTCTCCTCCAACGAAAATGCAGCTGCCGTAGCCGGGATTCAATCCCATAAGCTGCGAATCAGCAGCCGAGTGCCTTAGCCACTAGACCACCGCGGCAGGGCAATGGTTAGAACCAGTTTAAAATAAAGTAACAATTTCTGAAATAATACAAGCTATATAAATAACCAAGAAATCACAATGATTTACTTAAAATTGCGAAATTTCTTAAACATCTGGCTGAGACCCGCGCCACGCGAGAAAGGGCGCCACTGCCTTGGTAAGTGTGTAGTTGCTGAGTTTGTGGCAAGTGTGCATTTACCAAGTAGGTTATTGGGTTGCCCAGGCTACTAACTTCTTCAGGTTTCAGGGGAGCTGCATTAAGCATTAGATGTAGAAATACACCAAGACCCAGAGAAGAAAGATATTAGCCTTGGAGTTTAGAACTATACAAGGGCCTACACATATATGAGATAAGCACAAGATTTAGCATGGGATTTCGAACTACACCAACACCAGACTGTAACGTATATCAGGAAGCAGCATTCTCAAGCAGGACCGCTGTGAGAGCAAGTCTAGATTATACTCCCACCTTCTGTGGGTGAGTGTGTAGGCATGTGTAATTTCACATTTTGTGTGCTTTTTATTGGACGGAAAAAAATTGGCACGCAATTAGTACATTGATAAAAATTGCACAGCTAGATGTCATTCTAGCATGCCTACATATGCCTCATTGCCTACATGCCTGCATGGGAGTACTTCTTGAGTTATAAACATAATTAGAATTAATAAATAAGACTCATTAACACAAAAATTAGTAGTGGTGATTACAGTATACTGGGAACTGTATGCACTAGGGGCCTTGTTGCATTCTGCAGAACAAACGAGCAAATATTAATTACAAAAGAGTTCCAAAAGAAGTAAAAATATGAAGTATCTCATTATTTAAATTATTTTTAATTTTTATTCTTCTAATGTCACTACAGTGGTGGAAGGGCTGCACCAATTTCGCCACCCTGTGCCAAGTCACTTTTGCTGTGCCATCCTTCTCCAAAGTGCGTTGCCAAAACTGCTTCTATGCGGTCTTTGGTACCTGCATGTTCTATTATCCACAACGTGGCAAGGCCAAGCGAGCTCCTATCATCATCATAATCATCTCCTGACGCGCCCTCTGTTACGTTGGTGATTGCTTGAAGACTGTGTGCAACAGCAGTCTTGCCTCGAGGGCAAAGCAATGAATGCTATAGCAACAAATTGGAATGTTATATAAAGTAAGGCTATCGGCTAACTCTTTTGGATCTGGTCTCGCGTAACTCTTAAAACGCCCGGGTATATGGGAATATGGTAGCTCCATGAAGCAAAGTGGTTTTCGTACTCTGTAATCTCAATGCGTAGTAAGCAGGCCTTTTGTTGATGTCTGCTGAAATAGAACGAATGTTTGTGCCAGTGACCGTGCCCTTATGGTCAATGTGCCAAGTTGCTGCTCTAACCACGCAGTCTCCCCCCACGCTTCTTCACCCGATGAGAGACAGGTGAGGCCTTTCCTCCACTTAAGGGGCCATCAGTAGCATGCCTAGCACACGGGGCGATGTTATCGCTTGCACCTTCCATGCAACGGAGATGGCCGGCTCATTTTACCTGCCTCATGCAATAAATGCATAGAATATTTACACAGCTTGCGCTTCCATACAGTAACTAATAGGTTTATGTCAATATGCACATGTTTCAAATATTTGAACGATTATTAAAGTATTTGAATTCACTTTGATCCGAATTTAAGTTATTGCAAATTTTGAAGTATTCAAAATGAACGAACAAATGTATATTATACCCCTGTCACACGGGCACCCGTGAAGACCGTTTAACTCCCTCGTCTTTACAACAACGAAGATGCGGTTGGTGTCACACGGCCACCCTTACGCGAACGAAGGTGATATGTGTTTGTCCATAAATATGTGTCTGTTCGTACTCAGGCCAACTCCAGCAATTTTTTTACGATTTCAATGTAATGGTAGTTTTATGTTCCCCAGATGCTCCTGTCATAGACCTGGTAGCAGAAATACTAGGCAAAGTATAGAATAATTTTAAATAAGCAAAAAAGTGCAACACCAAAACTCAACCGCAGTACTATCTTCGCGTAACGTAAGTGTTGGTAAAAATCATGCAAACCGAAAACCGTGCAAGGCATGCCGGTCCGCCAGCACGGAGTATGAAAGCTGCCTGCGAAAGCGGCGAAGAGCAGACTCTCAGGGGAAAGGTGATCCCATCACAAGAGCCGCACCATGTGTGTTACTGACTATGCTATGTGTACAAGCTCCTTGGAGATGTCAAAAAATAATAACCGAGATTCGGACGCATGTGGAGGTCAAGTAAAATCGCTGAAGAGGAATGGCAATTGCTGGTTGTGCATCCCACTATCAGATGGTGCCACCTGTCCAGGCCGCTGAAGTTTGTGGGGTCGATATCGGTAATACCCGTGTCACACGGGCACTAAAAGGTCTTTTAAGCAAGAAGACTTTTTCCGAAAATGAGTTCCACTCGCAGACACACGACAGAGAGCAATCTCTTTTTCAGAAGTGGTCTTTTCTGGAAATGACGTTCGACGAACTGTTTCATGGCGGTAAAAGAGTAGTCTCGAAACCAGTGGGTGCCAGCAATTTTGAATATGGCAGCGGCCATGCAGACTCAACCGCCTGCTTCGATCCGGACTTGCCCTTGACGCTCACCCAGAGCATGCACAAAAACAAATGAATGGTCTAATTAACTATCGCTTTGTGCCATGTCACGATCAGGGCAGAGTGTCAAGTAGGCTCTTTCGTAATTGGTGAGAAGAGCTTATTTTTTAACCACGCCTGCTAAGCCTAAAGCACCGAGAATTTGATAGTGGATCATGGGGAATTGTGCAGTGTTCTCATGAATGCATTGCTGCTGAAGCGCCAAGACATGAATATAATGCAAATACAACCATCAATCTGGAACTTGCGGCTCATAGAGCACAGGACGATGATGTGATGAATTCAATGCGGAGAGTACTAGGGTCTAAGGTTGCAGCCATGTTTTATTTTTTCCGCTGCTGCTACTCACCGAACGTGTGCAAGCACATGCCAGAGGTGTGCTTAGCAGACGATGCGATAAAGCCCGTGAATTAATACAGGGGCTTTACGAATACATGTGGAGGGGCTAATCACTTGTAATATTGGCTAAGGAGCTCTGTAGCCTCCACAGTGCTAAAGAGAACTTCTGAGAAAGAGTTATACGGATGCATCGGGAATAACGACATCAGGAATATCACATTGTTACACTCAGACTCCTGCTGCGTCATTTTGCACAAGTGGGAAAAGCGTGTTCGGCAGTCGTGTTTGTAGCAACTATGGCCAACCCCGGGGGCAAAGTAGCCGGCGGTGCACGAAAAAAGCAGCATCTACAACGGTCCAAGGCAGACACCTGGAGTTTGATTTAATCAGACTGTGGCAAGATTACTGCTTCCTTAACTAGTGTAATGTACCTTCGCATTGGGGTTTCTTCATGTGTTATTCGTAAATTTATTTGAAGAAACGAGAACGCTACAAGTCCTTAATTTCTATATCGAGATGCATCGTTTTATTTTCATTGCTTCTCTTTTAACTGCTAGCGCCACGCTTTGGAAGTGTTTTCGAAAGAAAATACTAAGAGGAGATCCTTGGTGCCGTGTGTCTGCACCGCAACGCCTCTTTGTTGAAAGTCTTTTAACTTCGTGAAAGACCACTAACGTAAAAGACTTTTTGCATGCCTGTGTGACACAGGTATAAAATGCTATCGCTAAAAAGATTGTGGACTAACTGAGGCTTCTTAATATTGCTATAGGAAGAGTGCATATTTCTTGCAAAAGTGATAATTTAAAATTGCGCTGGCAGGGTTGTGGGAAATTAATTTAGGCCAAGTACACGCCCCCTTTTGCACAACGCCCTAGGCTCGGTCATGGTGCGCCCTGTGTATGTTAATAAAAAGTGTCTCCATATGGTAAAGTGTTCACTTAATACACTATCGTAATGTTCACGCATAGACCCTCTTCTGCTGGTACGGTATTAACACAGTTTCCGTGAAGTGAGCCGGCACTGCTAGCTTAAACAATATATAATATCAATACTAAGGGTAATTGTAACCTTCAAGAGTTTTCTAAATGTTCAGGTAATTATACGGGGAATCGTATGCTATCACAATGCAACACTACCTGCTACACATCACTTGTAAGCAAGCCCACAACGAACTGAAGTTGGAGCACCGAACCAACGAAACGTTGGCTAAGCAATGCACACGATCATTGTCTTGTGAACAGCAGAAGATGTAGTGGCGCCTTTGTTCAGTCACTTTCGACGTAAACCTTGGCACACATACACAGTGTTGCCAGTAATTATTGAAAGCCAGTTGGGAGAGTCAGGGCAATCTATAAAATTTATTTGTAAAAAAATCTGTGTATCTCTTCAGCCTGTAATTGGGTATTAATGATGGAAACGTGCAAATGAACGTACCCAGCGAATTTTATTGAGATCTGTTAACCTCGAAAAATCGCCGAATCGCCCTTAATGTTGTTCTTGTAAAGGTGGTTTTGCTGCAGTGAAGTAGTGCTTAGCCTTGAAAACATGTATCCGGAGGGGAACTGCATTGCTGCGAGGCCCCACTTCAGGGCTAACTAAAGGTGTTGTTACGTGGCAATAACAGTCACTCGCAAGCCACAGTCCAGCTCACACATGAATGTCAGCTTATTTCACTTTCTCCTAGACATCGTTTAGGATCTGTCCCACTATACACATAGATTGTCATAGAAAACCACGCAACACAACCTTTGGTGGCAAAAGCGCTGACATGATATCTGCAGATGACTGTGATAAGCTCGCTGGCAGGGAGCCAAATGACACATTTATCGCCACCGCCCACCTCGCTATCACTCTTATTTATGCTTATTCGTTAAGGCACTGCCGGAATCACGCGGAAGTCATCACTAATCGACCAGTCTTTGCTGTTACCGAAAGGTGGAAAACTTTTAACGTCACATTGTTGTGTCGGAGAGCTCAGCGTGACAGTGAAATTTCACACGACAGAAGTTATCGCTTCTCGCACTTATGGCTTCTTGAGTTTGAAGGCAGTGTTGGTTTATTGTCGGTGGTCGTAGATGCCGAGAACGGCGTCAGAAAAGTTTGCCGTGCAAAAGCTGACCGCAGTTCTCCATGCTGCCTCCTATTTTTTCTTTTTATTTTTTTCTCCCTCACTTTCATTTTGCCTGTGAAGAAACGTATGGAAAGTGAGTGACCTCGCTCGCGACGTACGAAATCTACGTGCGGTGCTCGCCGCGTTCTGTGATATCTTTGTCGTAACTAAACTTCAGTGGTGCACATGCGCACACGCCTATCTCATACTTCAGAATGCCTGTTCTAACCTTTCGTTTTTGCTTCGTATGCGCTATATTTTTGTCGTGACTGTGTCAGAAGTGTTCGTTGTAGCCCCGCCGCGGTGGTCTAGTGGCTAAGGTACTCGGCTGCTGACCCGCAGATCGCGGGATCGAATCCTGGCTGCGGTGGCTGCATTTTTGGTGGAGGCGGAAATGTTGTAGGCCCGTGTGCTCAGATTTTGGTGCACGTTAAAGAACCCCAGGTGGTCGAAATTTCCGGAGCCCTCCACTACGGCGTCTTTTATAATCATATGGTGGTTTTGGGACCTTAAACACCACAAATCAATCAATCAGTGTTCGTTGTAAAAGTAGGAGGCTTGAAAAATGTTCGCTGTATGTGGAGTCAGTTTCAAAGGGTAGTATAGGAAAATCGTAAGTGCACCGAAATATGGTCATTACAACCGATACATCGTTATGTTTGGGATCGCTATAAATTGGATGGACTTTAGCATGTAAGCCGTCATAACAAGCTTTTAAGCTTTAAACTTAATAATAAAATTAGGAATTGATTTGAGGGTAATAGATTCATTTAAACATGCCCTGCAACACTTCTTCAAGTAGCCATGGAATGGATTCACTAAAGAAGCTTATTGCCTCACAAATTCACCGCCACAAACATTTTTAGAATCCGTCCAGTACAAGTGGAGTTGCTAAGATTTGTTGCACGCTGCTCTCTCTTCTCGTCCCGATGAAAGCGTTGTGGGAAAAGACCACATGCGCCTCAAGACCTTTGGCACTTTCTCTCTCGTTCTTCGAATACGCGGCTTTTCATTGTGAATGCGCATTACGCATGGACAAGTGGCAGTCCCAGGAACGACCGAGCGCACCATGCCAATGGCTGAGACAATGGCTGTGACAAGGGATTTTTCAGCTTGTGGCGTCATTTGCCAAGAGAAGAGGGCAATTTTTGGCTCACTTTGAGATTTATTGTGAATCGCAGACCGCGTGCTGAGGAATAACATTTGGCTTGCATTTTCTCGTTAGCCTCGACCACAGAATGGCAGCGTTTTCTGACCATGCTCAAAAAGGGCCTCTTTAAATTTGAAGGGGGCTTCTTGGCAGGGCGGATTCTTCCTGCAGAGGTGCTTTCACGGTTTAGCACTCTTACACTGCAGTGAAACCACTTTAACAGGCAGTTACATGTGGACTAATATACACCTATTCGTTCATTGCAAATACTTCGAAATTTTCAATAATTTAAATTCGAATAGAAGTGAATTCAAATACTCTACTATTTGTTATAATATTTCAATCATTCAAATATTCACCCAAGCCTAGTGATTTCGCCTGGCTATCAGCTGTAAGTGAGCACTGCAACATGCTCACCAGCACTAAAAATAGATATCATATATGTTCTAAAATTTTTTTCTTTTTGTTCTAAATACTTTCAAATTATTTATTTGTGAAGTTTGAGTCAAAGCAGACGCTCAATAGCTTACATGTTTTTCTATATTAATTTGCAAAGGCCTATCAATTTGCTAATACGGCTTAAACTGACGTTTTTTAGCTTCACAAAAAAAGCTGTGAAAATATTGCTTTGGCCAATAGAACTGACATTAAGAAGGCATGTGAGGTGACTGCCGCTGTAATAGGTTCTCTTTTTTATATATCCAATAAAAAGAAATCGTATTGAATTGCTTATGAACATTGCTTTCTTAAGTATTACTTTTTTTTTTGCTATGCAGGCTTTTTCAGTTAACCTAGGTAATACTCGGAAGCTGTACAAATTTTCGACACTTATTGAGCATCCCTTGACTTGTATTGAATTGTAATAGCATCTGAGTTGGTATGACTTTAGCAAACTGTGCCTTGTCACATGCAGCACCTGTGCTAATGCATGACTGAACATAGGTAATGAATCATAGATGGTGTCATAAAGCTACAGCTTATGCTACTCTCAACTATTTCTTCAGTATGCTAGGCTATGTGTTGTGGAAGTGTGCCAGACCAGTCCTGAAAGTGTCGTTTCTAGATCTGCGCATGCTATATTCCTTCATATTCCCTCTTCTTTTTATTATATATCCTAACAGGATTTTTCATCTCACTTGATTGTTGAGGAAGACGCAACACTACTTGGTGACAAGCAGAGTACCAATGGCACTTCAAATGTGCTGAATAGCTGTGCCACGTTGGAAGACCTTCCCAACTTCGCAGGCAGTGTGCCTGCAACTATTTCTACATCAACCCCTGCTACTTCCGGTACTGAGCTCACCACAGAGAAGAGTCCCACACGGAAGGAGGATGCGACAGACACACCATCAAGCCAGGTTATGCAAGTGGCATTGCAGGACAAAAATTCTGGCACCACAAAGTAAGGGAAGCTCCTGGATTCTGTTGTGCCTAATTAATCATGCATGCATTAGCTGCTAAAGTGGCGCAGTGACTGTAATTGCTTTGCTGAGCTTGAGGTTGCGGGTTCAGTAGTAGCTGTGGTGGCTGAAATACGAAAATGCTGATGTACTTAGGCATGCGTGAAAAAATCCTGAATTGTCACAATTATTTTGATGTCCCTCACTGCAGTGTAGTTCATAAACAGATCATAGTTCTGATACGTAGGACTCCAGAATATTCAGCAGTCTATACGGAGGCATCAGGTGTCTGTTAGTCCGCTATGTGGTGAGTGCTGCAAGCACATAATTTCTTTCATACGAAGTTCCAAAATGTTTTTTGCCTTTCACCACTCTCCAGAACTAGAAAGAATTTTGTCCTTACTTTTTTATTTACTATTCTGCATCATTAGGCTAGCTGTAACTATAATCACTAGTACATAGATCTGACACCAGATTGATGACCACTGTTTACTACTGAGTAATTGTTTACCAGAGTTTTACTTGCTACTCCAAAACACCAAAGAAATCTGATAGAGCCTTAAGACAGCGTCAGTCTATTCTTTAGCAGTTGTAAACTTTCCTTATTTATTTTACATGTCCTCAAATCGCCCGCGACGTATACACTCAACGTAACAATCACATAGAAGTAGCCGCATAGTTCGCAAAATAGGAGCGCACAACTCGCCAATAGACAGGAAACGTCAAATTAGGAGTGCTACTTCTCGAAACCAGCAAAATTTCAACTCTGCGGACATTCTGAAGCCAAAAATAACAAAATTGCGCAGACAGAAAAAAGTTAGGGGGAATAAACGCGGGATAAGAAGGGTCATTAATAGCACTGAGGTCGCAAGGTTAGAAGTTTGAAGTCGTCACCCACCCCTTCCTTCTTTTTTGAGCAATATGGTGTTCCAAACAGCTATGAGAAGGCCAGATGAGCTATGAGGAATGTGAGGTTGAGAACAGATGGGCAGTCGTGTAGTATTCTACAGTGTTAAGAGTGTGGGACAGAACGTCTACTTAGAGATAGCGCATCAGCCTAGCATGCAAGAGGTCCTAGCATGCAAAAATTCCTAACTGTATACAGTTAAGCCTGCTTATAACGAACCTTCATATAACGAATTTCTCTATATAACGAAGTTTTTCTATTCCCCACCATTGCTTCTTAGAAGTACATGTATTTACGACCTTTTTGTAACAAAGTAACAGTGGGAGACAACCTTGATAAAACCAATTTTTTCCTTGGACGATCTAGTGACCACACGTGCTGGATCTGCGTGAGGCGAGCAGTTGGGCCGGCACCCCACCAGCCGGTATTGCCACCGTTCTCGCCGCCGTGGTCGCATATGCGGGTGTACCCCCCCCCCCCCCCTCCTCTCCTTGTTCTAAACCAAAATTAAAAAAAAAAAAAAACTACTTTTGCGCATTGGCAGTGCTACGCTTTTACTTAATGGTCACATTTTTAGGGCCACACTGCATATGAAGGGCAGGTTATTGAATAGTTTTCCAGGGTATTTGTGTCTGTGTCCATATCGTTCGCTTTTCATTTTCGACGCCGTGTGCACGTGCATAGTGTCACTGCGCGCGCATGGTGTGGCCCCCAACGACGTTCAGCTTTGATTTTTTTATTGCGATAGCAATTATGTAATATGGACAGTCTCGGGGCTGGTTTTTTGCCGCCAACACCGTCATTCACCGTATTTGTTACGTATCTATATATGAAAACTCAAGAACAAAAAAGAAAAACCGCCCTTGCTCGACGCCCAGCTCGCCACGATGCGCTGACGTGCGCTTGATCTCCCACGAGTACCTACTTTGCTCCGCAAATGGGGGAGGGGGGTTAGATGCTTGTGCGCGCGCGCTCATTCTTTGGTGGGGAGAATCGCGCGCCTTCGACTTTGACCAGAACGATTGCTTTTAGTTGCCGGGCACACAATGATTCCTTGGCTCGCTGGAAAGGCGCCGTTTGTGAAAAGCGTGCACTTTTCAAACACAGTGAAGTAACAACTGGGGCACTTTATGGTACGCACTCATATCTGTACCCAAGATTACGTTTTGCGCCTCGTCACCACCAAGGGGATGTCAGATTAGGCGCTGATGGAAACTCTCCGAGACCACGGTGACGACGGATCTTCGGAGGTCGACTCGTCACGCGCTTCCGTCTTGCGCCGCGAGCTTGCCAAGATAGCATGTGCGCGAGCCATTGCGACCTTAAAATAAAAGTTCATCGCTGCTACTCCAGCCCCCCCCCCCTGCGTCTTTTCATGCTCGTTCAAGACTGGTGGTTTCTTTTTTGTTTGAGCATTCGACAGCAGTTTTAGCACGCAGGGGAATGTTATCGTATTGTGCCCTCGAAGTGATAGAGAAAAGGGCCAGCTTATTTTATCTTTGTTTCAACAGCGCTCGCGCACTTTTATCTGCTCGTAAAAGTTACAATGCGCAGGGGCATGTTAGTAATTAATTTGGACTTGGGACAGAACATGGCGGCGACGGCAAAAAACCCACCGAGAGTGTCCATATAATTGCTATTGCAATAATAACAACTGTTTTTTACTGTAAAATAAGTGTTTCGGGTTAGCTCTGCCTTAAGTCCCCCTTTTTGTTTAATTTGTGCGTTCATTTTCCAAATTTTCGTACCAAACCTGCATATAGCGAAATCCTTTTTATAACAAATTTTTCAAATAATTTATCAATTTTTTTGTATCCCTATATGTATTTACAAACACATGATGAGGAAATCGTTGAAAAAGAAAAAAAGACGTCTCAGGAGTGCAGCCTCACTGGTGATCACCTGCCAGTAATGCACTCCCTCACCAGAGCAGGATTGGCCACTCTGGTGCAGTACTTGGTCACTACCTTTCACATGAACACAACAATTAACCCTCAGCCCACAGTCCCCAGCAGTTGTGAAGCAACTGACCAAGGTGGCAATCAGACCTGCGACTGTGCTAAGAATCTCTGTGTCTGGACAGGCCACTATTGGAATCTGAACTTGGCTGCGTTTAACCTTAGAATGCTATCTAGTGAGGCAAGTCTAGCCGTGCTATCCGAGGAATTAGAGGGTGTTAAATTGGGTGTAATAGAGCTCAGTGAAGTTAGGAGGATATGTGAGGCTTATTCAGTACTGAAGAAGGGACACATTCTATGCTACTGTGGATTTGTTGACAGAAGAGAACTAGGGGTGGGGTTTCTTACCACAAGAATATCGCTGGCAACATGGAGGAATAGTATAGCATTAGGGAGATGGTGAAAAGTATCGTAATTAAGTTATGTAATGTAAATTAGTTACATAATTAAGTAACAAAAGGTACAGGATGAAGTTGATACTGGCCTATGTGCCTACATCGAGCCATGATGATCACTTGGTTGAACGCCTCCATGAAGACATAGTATACTATTTTGATGGGTGACTTTAATGCCATAGTAGGTAAGAAACAGGCCAGAGACCATGCAGTGGGGGAATATGGCATCGGCTCTAGAAATACCAGAGGAGAGTTAATAGTAGAGTTCGCAGAACCTAATAATTCACAGATCTTGAATTAGTCCTCAGAAAACTGGCTAGCCGTAAGTGGACAGGCCGAAGTCCTAATGGAAAAACTGAAAATGAAATAGACTTCATTCTGTTTGCGCACCCAAGCATCGTGCAGGATGTGGAAGTACTTGGCAAGGTATGATGCAGTGGTAAGGTCTTGAATTTGCCTAGACTTGAAGAAAGAACGACAGAAACTGACACGCAAGAAGCCAATCAATGGGCTAGCACTGAGAGGGAAAGTGCAGCAATTCAGAGTCTCGCTTCAGAACAGATACTTGGCTCTTATGAGGTAACCGATGTTAGCATTGGCACGATGAACGATAATCTTTCTAGTATCGTCAAAGAGTGTGCAATAGAAGTCAGAGGTACAGTCACTAGACAGGACACTGGCAAACTGTTCCAGGAGATTAAAAATATCATTTAGAAACAACAAACCATGAAAGCCTGAAATGCAACAGACAAAAGAGAGCTATTGGGGCTTTCAAAGTTAGTAAGGTAGCCGACCTAACAAGGTATAACATGGAGAGAATCAAGCATGTTGTAAAAGGCAGAAGAAGCCTAAAAGCTGTGAAGGCAAACTTGTGACAAGCAAAAATCTGATGTATGCATTAAGGGACAAGTAATGCAAGTTCACAACCAATAGGGATAAGATACTTGAGGTGGCAGAGGAGTTCTACAGAGATCTCTACAGAAGCTGAAATATATCATAGGATGATATCATAACAAGCAATAATAGCCCAGAGGAATTTCACACCCTACTAGTAAAGACACGGGATGTAATGAAAGCTCTAGAAGGAATGAAAAAAGGCAAAGCCGCTGGTGAGGATAATGTAACAACGGACCTGCTGACAGATGGTGGAGAAATCGTGTTAAAAAAAAAACTGGGCACTTTATATTATAAGTGTTTTTTGATGGGAAAGGTACCAAAATCTTGAAGGAATGCCAACATCATCTTAATCCATCAGAAAGGAGACGTCAAGGACTGGAAAAATTATAGACCGATCAGCTTACTGTCTGTTCTCTACAAGCTATTTACAAAAATAATGGAAAATAGAATTAGGGTGACATTAGAGTTCAATCAGCCAAAGGACCAAGGAGGATTTCGTATAGGCTACTCCACAACAGACCATATTTATATTATTAATCAGGGGATAGAGAGATGCACGAAATACAACCAACCCCTATATGTAGGCTTCATAGATTATGAAAAGGCATTTGATTCGGTCAAGACATCAACAGCGATGCAGGCACTATGGAATCAGGGAATCGACGAACCGTACATATACACCCTGGACTAAATCTACGGCAGATCCACAGCCATGATAGTCCTCCATAAAAAAACCAAAGAACCCTAATGATGAATGGTGTAAGGTAGGGAGACACGACCTCTCCAATGCTATTCACCGCGTGTTTACAGGAGGTTTTCAGAGCCCTATATTGTGAAGAGTTAGG